AAAGAAATCTGAGATATTCTCAGATATAACCTACTTCAGCACATTATTCAAGAATGAGTGTAGAGGCACTGAAGAAAACCTGGAAACACAATATATACGGAACGGTGGCCAAAAATCGAACCCTGTACAAAATACTTCACCAGCTGATCCACTATGCTGAATAAAGATTATGGCGATCATCATAATGTGATGATAAAACAAAATAATAACTAGGATAAACAACATGCGAAAGTTCCAAATACTTTTTCGAAGCCCCTTCTACATCTGCATACCCGGCAACCTGACGGAAGCGAGTGCTCTTTCCTGAGTGAAATGGCGACTCGTCGTTAACAAGTTCTGACATTGATTTTCAGTACTTCACAGCACGAAGAACGAAGTCATCGATTGAGAAAACGACCAAGAAAGCATAAAGAAATAATCCTTTATGCACTCACTCTAAATCCTCGAGTCGACTCTTATGGCAGCTTCCATTTCCTGACTTCGGAGAAGCAGAAATAAATAAAAGTAAGATTACAGTTAGTTCCGAGAAAGCAGAAGTCATTTTTAGTTCCATTCAGCGCTTCGTCGATGGAGCTGTTACATGTATCTGTGCGCCCTATGAGACATTTATAAACATTATATACAACAATTTACCAAATAAATTCTAAAGGATCCTGACGGTGGTGATGGCTGTACAGAGAACTACGAGGGTTGGAACTTCAATAGTGGCAATTATTTATTTACAACTGATACAAAATAGATACATGTTTCGAAGTTTTACTGTCCTTCAATGTAGTCACCAGCATTGTGTACAAACCGTTGTCAGCGATGTGGAAGTCGTAGGATACCTTTAGCAGCGCCTGTTGTGTTGATAGTTCGAATGGAGCGGTCTACTGCCTGAAGAATCTCTGGAACAGTTCTGAAGCGAATGCCACGAAGTGGTTCCTTCATCTTAGGAATCAAGTCTAAGTCACAAGGGCTTAAGTCCGGGGAGTATGGTTCATGGTACAGCACTTCCCAGCCCCATCGATCGAACAAATCAGCCACAGCTTGCGCTGCATGCGACCGAGCACTGTCCTGCAAAATAATGGGTGGGTTCTGCAGAAAGTGTCGCCGCTTCTTTCTCAAAGCTGGTCGCAGGTTGTGTTCCAAAAATGAACGGTAATTGACGGTCTGCTGTCGGGGAACGGTATGCGTTAGGATAACACCATCACAGTCGTACACGAGACTCACCATAACTTTCATATTGCTGGGGTTCTGACGAAATTTTGTTTTTCGTGGTGACCCGTAATGACGCCATTCGTTCGACTGGAGTTTTTTTTGTGGTTCGTGCGATTTGGCCCATGTCTCATACAGCGTAATGATACGGCGTAAGAAAGCCTCTCCTTCGCGCTCATAGCCCTCCAAGTGGTTACGAGCAGCGTCGTATCGTAGCCATTTCTGCATTTCCGTCAAATCATGCGGAACCCATTGTGATGCAATTTTTCTCATGCCCAGGCGTTCCTTCAGAATATGAAGCACAGTCGTATGCGCTAATCCTGTCTCTCGGGCCAGCTCACGAATCGTATGGCGTCGATCACTCTCCAGTAACGCGGGAAAAACCATACACTTCTTCATTGAAACTAGGGCGACCTGGCCGACGTATGTCTGCCACATTTTGGCCTCCCTCGTTGAAGGCTTCTACCCACCTTGCCACTGTTCTGTAAGGCAATGGCAGATTCCCCGCAAGCCTCTTGAAGACCTTGATGACACTGTCGTGCTGTACGGCCTCTGGCACATTCAATCTTTATCCAACTCTGTTGTTCCTGTTTCGAAAACATCGTGACAACACTACATTAGACCGCTAGCTAACACGAGGCTCTGTTCATCTGGTCGCTGGGCATGCGCGTGATGTGGGAAGGGAGAGTCCATTTGCTCTGAGGGTAGGTATGTAACTAATGTGTGGTATAAGCGACATTATTTGGTTGTGTCTCTACAGCAGTGTTGCCACTATTAAAGTTCCAACCCTCGTATAAGGTTTAGTTTGGACTCTATCCAGCGTCTGGTGCATATAAGATAAAAGACCACACCGTTTCGGAGACTGAATCTGTCTCCGTCCTCAGGTGGATGGGCAAGATAGACCTACTCAGTTGGGCCCGTTAGAAAAAGCTAGTCTCAGTCACTGGACAAACCCCGGTCAGTAGAGAGCAGCCTATAAACACTTGACAGCAGGTTTCATCATTGGCAGATGATAAAATCACAATAAAAGACAAGTTAAAATTTTTGTGGGAAGCATGCACATATCAAAAATGTGATAAAACCTCTTCATTCATGAGGGGGATCCATAAGGGAGAAATATCCAAACTGGGCTGGCTGATCGGATTAGCTGAACATGCCGTGTGAGCTGATTCCTTATACTTTCTGTACCTGCTGTTACTTTCAATCTCCAAGGCCCTAGCTTCGTCCCAGCCTACCTTATGGCCCTCTTCATACGCATGCTGAGCCAACTTGGATTTCTCTAGAATATCCTGCTTGAAATTATGCCTGTGTTCATCAGTGAAGAGGTCAACAAGTCAAAATGAAAGTTTTTACGAAAATCAGTGTCTTCCGCTACATGTGCTGGTTTTGCTCTGGAGTTTAGTCTTATTTCGAGAAGTCGCCCTGGTGGCATGATTCTTCATCTGCATAAGTAACTATACATCCTCTATATTTTTTACTCTCGTCTTTAACTTCATTCCTGGAACTTAAACCATACCATTGTTTTATCAAATTTTTGACATGTGCATGCTTGGCACACAAGTTTTAGCCTTTCTTTTATTATGATTTTATTATCTCCCAATGATGGAACCTGCTGTCAAGTGTTTATAAGCTGCTCTCTACTGACCGGGGGTTGTCCAGTGATTGAGATGAGCTTTTTCTAACGGGCCCAAATGAGTAGGTCTATCTTGCCCCATCGACCTGAGGACGGAGACAGATCCAGTTTCCAAAACGTTGTGGTTCTTTGTCTTATATATACTAGACGATGGATAGAGACCAAAATAAACCTTATAGTTCTGTACAACAATTTACCAGTTTTCGGGGAGATCACTCTGAACACTATGCTGTCCAAGGCCACTTCATCTTCGCATTTCTCAATTCTTAGTTTATTAATTCATTTTCTTCTTTTTGATTTGTAGTTAGTTAGTTAGTTAGTTAGTTAGTTATTGGAGAGGGTGGGTTTCCCCACGCACTGAGACCTNGGCTTAAAGTCCCTCCCGGAGGACTTGTTCCCTGAATTTTTCCGCCCTTAAAAATTCGACGACCTCCGCCGGGTATTTGAACCCGCGTACTACGAGTCATGAGGTGGGAACGTTACCTCTAGACTACGGAGGCCGCTTTTTTGATTTGTAAGTACGAGCCACACATTCAGAATTTAGTTTGCAGTCCTATAATTAAGCAAGACTATGAGTCCTTTCAAGCAGATCAGGGTGGCCTGAACTGTCTTCGCCCTCTTAAACACTGGGGTCATGGATTCGAATGCTACTCGAGGCATGGATGGTTTTCAGAGTTTATTCTGTGTTTGAGCTGTTCTATGTGCATATAGCGGCCTTGTGACGGGCTGATCCCCCATCCAAGGAGTCCTGCCGAATGTGTACAGGATTACAAAACTGAAAAAGAGGCCAGGCCCCAACAAAGGGCTGTAGAGCCGTGGGTGGATGGAATGGTCGGACGGGATGGGTGGACGGATGGTTATTTTTAAGACAGTATTTTTTATTCCGAGGACTGCACGTTGCTGGAAAACAGCAGCGTCATAAAGTTTATGTTGCAAAAACTCTGCCAGTGTACTGAAATGAAATACGATTGAAGAAAGATGCACAATATGTACACGTACACTGAACATAACATCGTTTCTACTAATCGTGTTTCGTGTACAAATCCCACTAACAGTGGTTGCCTTGATATCAGAAGAACACACACGATTAAGTTCCTGAATGGTATAAGTGATTACAGTCAACATTCACTTCTCTCGTGACACGATGTTATTCAGCTCGTAATTTCCAAATACAGTCGTACCTCCGAACTTCCACTTTATGCCTATCCGAAAAAAAGAGGCGCATGTCGAAAAATCGTTGATTTTACTATAACATGGAACTTAAGAGGAAGAGGCAAGGCCGCACCATAGCTCAAGCGGTTAGTCGCTGGTTTCCAACAGCGGCGGCTCGGGTTCGATCCCGGGTCTGGTAAAGTGGGATTTGTGGTGGACAAAGTGGCGCTGGGGCGGGTTTTCTCCGAGCACTTCGGTTTCCCCTGCCAATCTTCATTCCGCCAAATTCTCCATCATAATCGCCCGGGGCAGGCTGCAATAGGCCAATCGGTGGCCGCCGTGCCCAGTGGACCCAATTGGACTCCACCCCCTCTAAGCGAATTAAAAAAAAATAGAGGCAGAGGCTACTGGATCTTAAGGCTTAGACCCATTTACCAGTATTTCAATAGTTGATACGCTACATTTCAATTGCTTTTAATATAAAATCAATACAGGCGCATAAAATAACAGTTTTATATACTTGGAGTACTAAAAATGAAAATAAAATCATGTTTTGCCACAGATCACTAAAAGTTATGACTCGCGCCACAAGAGGGTTACCATCTGACAAACTTCGAAATATTAGTTTCGAGTTTTTAAGCCTGAAAATTTGGAGCTTAAGTCTAATGGGTCTTAATTTAATGTGGTCGCAAGCCTGGAATTTCGTAGGATTGTGAAGTCGTAGGTCGAAACGCGACCTGATTTACTGTTTCTTCAGAGGTCATACTGCATATGAAAATCATACCTACACCTACCTACCTACCTACCCCTAATGTCGATAGTACTCCAACCGCCATGCTGCTTTTGTTAATGATAGGTAAGTTACAAGGGGCCTCTAAAGGCAAGATGTTCGTACAGAATATTGTGAAAGTATACATATCATGTTTAAACATTACTACATGACATTATGATATCGTGACAACATGGTGTAACAAGGAAGTTATCAAGTTAGAAAGTGAGGCTGTGTTGGCAAGCTTACCTGTGCCTCCGGGATCTGCCTGGTTGAGAACCGCTTGAGGAATGAGTCTTCTCGCTTGAGAGGAGGTTTCTTCTGGATGGTGGTAATGGCACCAGATAGCTGCACTGTTGTTCGCAGCTTCATCCACCTCTGGTTGCTCTTCGTCCTGCGACCACAAATTCAAGAGTTCAACATCATGTATGCTTAGTGAAATAGTGGCCCAAGTAACGCCAACACAACAAGGAAGGCTCAGGCTGTAGCAAGAAGATACGATGATTTGTAATCGTCAGTGCGCACGCTTTGAAAATTCCCTGCTCCCGTCAACAGCCGAATTTATATGTCAGACTCGGATACTGGTTGGAGAAAAATATCTGAATATGAAAGGGGAAATACTAACATTTTTAAAAATTAAATGTACTTACCTAATTATATATTCAATATTCAATTATATATTCAATAATCGGAAATGTCAGTTTGAGCTTTGTTATTACGCTCGCGCTTAAGTTATTTCTGTACATATCCATGTTTAATCATTGTACCTATCCTATTCTTCTTCTACCTTGACGGATTAGACCCTTTGCCCTATTTCTTTTCCCTTGGCACTACAGCCCCAGTGGGCCTAGGCCTACCTCCATGAACTTCTCCGTTCACCCTCTGCCCTCTTCCCATTCAGAATTAATTTATTCTGAAATCTGAGTCTTACAGACAGACGGTAGGACTCCCTAAATGGGTGATCAACTCGTCGTTAAGTCAGCTATCCACACACGACAACATAAACACAGAATAAACGCAGACATCCATGCCTTGAGTGGTATACGAAGCCACGATCCCAGAGTTTGAATAGGCGGAGACAATTCATGCCTTAGAAGGCGCGGCCACTTATGTAACTATCTTATTATATTACTGAGTATTACTGTAATGTTTAAAATATGACACTATCATAAAAAAATAATTTTTATAATATTCAGATGACTAATAGTTCTTCTACCTTTGGATTAGGCTCTCTGGCCTATGCCCATTCAGAATTAATTCCGAAATTATGAATCTTATAGACAGCTCGTAGGACACCTTGGACGGGGGATCAGACGGTCGCGAGGTCGCTACCCTAAAATGACAACACAAAAAAAGAGTAAAAGCAGACATCTATGCCTTGAGTTGGATTCGAACCCATGATTTCAGTGTTTTGAGTTGGCGAAGAAAGATGACCCGTACTGAATAATATAATTATTTTCACACTAAGACGCAGACATACGTACTTATGCTCTCAAACGAATCGAGAAAGGAAAATACATGCTGCTCAAATTCCAAATTATTTTCTAAACTAAGTGGCGAAACGAGATATCTACATAAAATTCCCTGCATTCCCCCACATGTAGACCAAGATATTTATCTTCAAACGTAATAACAATGGCGGAAAAGTGGAAATGCAAATGTTGTTCGCTTAAGAAGGGAAACCCAAAGAAATTTTAGTTGACTTCTCCGACGCATGGGTTTCAGTCCATATCAAGTGATTTTGCATTCACCCCGTTACAACAGCACTGGGGTCGTGACGAAAACAGATATTCATATACACCGTGAAAATGAAACGCGATCTGAGGGCCGCGGAACCGACGTGTACGAACCGTTAAATATAACCATCACGAACAACAAAATTATTCTTCTTGTATAAGGGGTGGGCCTCCTTGGCCCTTGCACCGCGACCATAGTAATCTATTGTGCCTAAATTATTCCTCTTAGTAGAATGCAGAATTTTCTGCGCAGACGCGCTAATTATGCAAATATATTAAAGAAAACTCGACAGGTCGTGAAATATGGGCTATGTCAAGGTAGTATTGTGCTTCAACCACACATAATACTTCATAAATGAAAAGGAACTGATATATGCTGGCTCTCGCACAGGTCAGCGGACAGAAGGACAAGGACGAAACTATCTGTGACGTAGCACAGTTGATACTTCTGTATGTTTAACATGCATTTTCACACACGTTCACAGAGGGCAGCTGTATGTTTGAAAATGTCATCTAGAAAGAAAAAAAGATGTAATTGAAGCAATAAGATAAGTGAATTGAACAATGGGATAAAACGTTAAGGAATAGTGAGGAGAGGGGGGGGGTCAAGGAGAGCGAGATGTGAAGAAAAAAAATATCGGGGGCTGGTTGAGGTAGAATAAGACAGGAAAGGGACGAGACAATGGCAGCGCGATAGGATAGACAAACAGGGATGTGAAAGGAATACGGAAAAGAGCAAGAAGGAGAAAGAGGTGTAAATGGGATAAAGGAAATTGACACAGGTGTAGGGGATGGAGATACGGAAGCACACATCCCCGTTGAATTTCAATGCATCTCCTCCACAAGAATTTTGTCACTTTAGTACAGTTAAATCGATCTCAAAGATTATTAATTAACAAACACACGAATAGTAGCACTTGAGGTGCTTGTTGATATTTGAGTAGTGAATTCATGCAACGAAACACTTATTTCATAGAAAAGTGAAAGAAAATGCTAATAAACAGTGTTATAGGAGAATACAAGGGTGATGAAATGTTGAGTTCTGCTGTTGCGTAATCAGCAAGCAAAGAATGCGTGTAAGAGAAGTAGAGGAAAATTTATATGCGTAATTATTCGTGAAAATAGAAGAAAGTCAATATTGCCAGCTTCGCGCACACATCGCTGTAAACTACGGATAGGAGGGTCTGTAAGCGCCACAACCGGCCTGGATATATTGGCGATATGTCCTGGTAACAGGTTCATTATAGTCCGAATGTAACTTCAAATCACACATGAAGTCTTCTTTGCACGGTCGAATTCATTCCTTGCCTTTCCTTCTCAATCACCTTCGACTGTCACCTCAAGAACTCGACCCAATTCTCGAAAACTCCACTGAAAGGACCTTCTTTTCCTTTTCATAACCTTTCGGCATAGACCACGAAGAAAACAGTCTCTCCGTTGTTGAGAAGGCTTGTTTACTAATCCGCTTCTTAACAATGGACGTCTTATTGTTGCGCGCTTTCGATTCGGTGAGAATGTGTTTACCGAGCCGTTGCCTAGCAATGGGTCTATACGTCATAATGTTTCGTGCAATGTGTATATGCAGGTGAGAAATGAGAAATGTTATAGCACACACAAATAATTTTGAGCGTAATTCTCTTTAAAAACTGGATTTTTCGGCTGTTTTCCTCTTCCTTCAAAATACTTTGGCTGACAATACAGAATTACACAACACATAGCCTAATGCTGTACTTCAGAAAGAAACGTGCATTTCTGTGAGTATCTCTCCTAAACACCTGTCGCAATGAAACAAATATTTTATATCCAGTATGCTTTCCCGTGACGTCACAAGGCTTTCAAAATAACTGTACAAAAGTGACCGACTGTTACGCTGTGCTCACATGCCCTCGGTTCCTTATGAGTCCGGATACATATAGAAGGGAGGACAGCTCCTCCCGCCGGCCGGGTCGAGCCGACCCGCAAGGCATTAAGTTCGTTTTACGGGGCGCTGTCTGGGCAACACTGCTGACAGCGATTTGTTCTCTAAATAAATGTGGCAGGCACTTACGTCCCGAGGAGGCGATACTTCTACTCCCCACATTACATCACAATGGCTTAGTTTTCGCATGGCTCCTAACGCGAAACAGATGGAATTAGAATGGTCTACTGAATGTTCAATGTTAGGGACAAAATACGCTCGTTTCGCGTTTGAACAGTGCCTTATCAACTGCGTGCGTTATATGTATAGCTCTGGGACTATTTTAACGGAAAGTACGGGCTGCAGAGAAACCACAAAATTCTGATTCACTGTAGTCGCTTTAGAGACGTAGAATCGAAATCAGGAAATCTCCAAATACGAAAGAGACGTTTCGGACAATACAGAAACGTTCGGGGAAGAAAGGGGCGATGTAAGCAGAAAGCGATCTCGACGAATTAAGTAGGTCTTATTTCCTTCGTACAGGATAAAAATAAATAAAATCCATAAGTAGCAGCAGCTCGGTACGAAGCGCTTGTGATTTCCTTGTGCTGCACCGTTACTAGGCGTACTATAGGGAACAGCAGTGAATGTGTCTCTTTCACGTGAAGGGTGAAGTCTGTCATCGCGAGATCAAGGAAACGCGTCATTTACCATAGCACAAGAAACGCTACCGAAGTAATCTTTAAACTTTCCTAGCAATTTATCTTTACTCTGACATTGCTAGGCATTACTCAGTCCTNCTCTTGAAGACGACAGACTAAAAGACTTCGTTTGTGTCGCAGTGAGAAGACTAGTGTATAAATTAGTTAGAGCGTTATTATTACTTGTAGTTAACATCTGTAAGTGGCGATTAAATCCAATCACCAATCAAAACCCCGTCAATAGTCACACAAATACGTTGACAATATATTCCATTCAATTTGAAGACGAAGTGATTATGTGATGAGATCACACAATGAACTCTTCAAACTCTTGCCCAAACTTGCCTTCTAGAAGGCTGGGGTATGTGGCAGAAGAGCAAAAATGTTGATCCAGTCAGAGAATGTATGAAGTTGTGACACCATGGCAACACCGTGGGACATTATTCAAATTTGCGAGAGCCCCGTTGAGGCTTCATGAAGTTCAGCCGACCTTGCAATATAAAATTGTCATTAAAAACGAAAAAGGGGGACCATGAGCTGGAGGAAAGGATGGAAATCAGGAGTAATGCGTTCGAGTTTTTGCAAGATCTTTACACAGTGTTGCACTATTATTCAGAAGACGAACAGAAATGACTCCGACACGTTTAATATGAACGTATAACAACTAACAATGCAATGTAAGTCGCATGACGGACCGATGGATTATATTTAACTAAAGCCTTATGTACTGCATATCTAATTATCAAGCACGAGGCCGTAATGGAGTTAACTGCCGCAAGAGACATCATTAGACGTGGAATATCGAATTTAGTGAAGACAATTTAGAATCAGATAAGAAAATCCGTGTTTTTATAATTTACAAATATGTACATCAATTCTCCGGTCACGGTAGAGGAGCGGTATAAGGCATGGAACGTCTTCGCTCGCTCGGAAGCCAGGATCGTGGGTTCGAATCCCACTCAGGGCATGGATGTTCGGTGTTTGTATTTCTGTGCAGGCAGAGGCCTTGCGACGAGCTGATCACCCGTCCAAGGAGTCTTACCAAACGTCTAAGATCTAG